CTGTGTGTTGCGACACCGCGACACTTCCTGTCATGAGAATAGGCGTCGAAAGCCGTATCTGTCAGACAAATTGGCTTGGAACAGAAAGTTCGGGCCATGCAGATTAAGGCTTTGATAATCAAGAATTGAGATGTTTAAGACCGGATGCAATGGAGTGATAAGAGGCACGGTCTGATAAATGTTCTGTCCAGGCATAAGTAAGGGGGAAGCAGGCTTATAACGTCTTATTGGAAGGTACGAAGCTGCTTGCGTTATTCTGTTGGAAATATTTGTTTCTAATATCGCAAATTCTCTTGGGTTTCCGTATTTTTGATCTACTGTTCATATTCATTACTACCTGGATTTTAGCTTGCATCGTAAAGATTGGTGTCTTATGTTTGTATTCTCAATTGTACCATATTATTTTTTGTTTTCTATTGTTCCTCTTCTATTTTCAGCGAATAGTTTCTTAGTGTTTTTTTCTGCCTCAGGTCATTTCTAGCAAGATGCATACGTTTTCTTTCAGCCGTGTCTAATTAGCTAAGTTCGTTTAATAAAGTGTACTCAGTAGATCGGTCTCCAAGTCATTTACGTACTGTGCGGAAAGTGAGACCTTCAGAATCAAGAGTAAGCTCCTTCCTAGTTTTAAGCTTGTCGCAATACTGTGCTTTTCATTAAAGACCGTCCTGAATCTTTGATATTCACTGTGTAAAAATATCGCAGACCGGCATATGACTTTATTTGAGTGTTGCGGGTCAGTCTGAAATTGATGAGCTAGAATAAAATGGAATAGCACAGTTTGAGAAGTGGGCAGCAAGTAATATACATTATGCAAACTTTTTATGCAACAAACTTAGGCTTTTTTTAACCGCACTGTTATCTGGAGGGTCAGCGTAAAATCTAATTCTTCATAATTTGCGAAATTAAGAAAGTGAACAAGCTCAACGAGAGAGTAATTTTTAAGAAATTTAAGTCTTTTGGTATTGAATATATACCGTCACAGCGGGATCGCTCAAAGATAAAACGAATATTACATAGAAATGATGGAGTAACGTAGTATTATCTTTCTTGATACACAAAAAATAAACTTTCTTTACAGGTTGCAAAAGAAGAAATTTGTGTAAAAATTAATTATCTGAAAACATTAGACAACACAATCTGTATTATCCTACTTTTCGTTCTATTTTTAAGGAAAACCAGTTAGGCGGTAACTTCTCGTCATACGACGTTTTTGACTAGCTCATCTGCCTCTTGATAGTTATGTTTGCTTTAAAGTTATATTTTATGCTATGGTGTAATATCAAAATAATCATCTATAACAAGAGACATCAATATTCTATCTTCTTAATAATTCATTTTTACTCGTACTAATTATAGAAAAAAAGAGTATGTGGAACAAACCTTGACTATAAAAAGATTACAATATTTACTCACAAAAATGTTTAAGTGGCCTGGTTGCTGATTAGTTTCTCTTGAAGATTTATTGTTGTTGCCTTCGCGTTGCCGTGACATCATTTCTATAAAATCAGTCTATTTTATTTTTAGTAATCACTTAATTTGCACCTCTTGGTGGCAAATCTGTAGTGTTTACAAGTCTAAATTAAGAATATGGCACATGTTTCAGATATTGCACAGAGTTGTGTTCCACAGATAAATGTTCAACGATTTGTAACATCATACATCGCAGCTTGATGGGGACGATTGGAGAACGATAATGCTGAAGTGAATCGGTTGAAGGAATGTTGAGAACGAGACTTCAAGGATACGGTCAAGTGGAAAGTGTGGGACTGCCTTGGGGGAAGAGAACGGACTACAACGGCTAAAACTGATCGAAATTTCAGTATCGCTCAACGGTTAGTGGCTTTGTATCGTTTTCTTTATTTTAGATTCTACAAACAAAACAAAAAAAAAAAACAGGGGACCTATCTGACGGTTTCAATATCTTTGACTGCTGACAAAAAATGCGGTACAAGCATTCTGCAATAGAATGAATGTCCTATAACCTTTATAATAATCTAGTTTGAACGTACTTTGGTTTTTACCATGTTAAGTAATAAGAAACTAGCTGCACTCTAAAGGTATAATATACAATTTCAAATGAATCATCCTTCCGCCTTCTGTCTAGACTTATTTTCTTTTTTTTCGCATCATATTTTTGATCATTTGTGTTCGATTGAGTATCTAAAAATTTTCTGCTTATCAGTGCGAAATGTACTGTCATTGATTTATTTAATTTCTTCCTAACTTTGAAATAACGTACACTATATTTTTTGGTGAGACCGATTCGAATCTCAATCAGACGGCCGACATTCTAGATTTCTATCCCGGTAAGCATTTTTATGGGGTAGGAGAAACGGACTTGATAGTACAATAGACGAAAATAGGTGGGAAATTGCTACATAAATTGGTAGAAGCAAGTGTGCAGTCAGTTGGAAGTGGATGTTGCTGGATCTATTGTATCATACTTGCAGTGATACAATTTATTAAGTTTTCTAAAACTGCAGTACTTGGTTTCTCCTCTAAATTCCGTTTAAGCATCAAGTGAAAAACCAGATGAGATGTCAAACCTATACGAATTTGCTTTCTCTGATTAGAAGAACGAAATTGTACAAGTCATAATTACACAATTTCAAAATAAAAAGTAAAGCTTGAAAAAAATCGGCTCATTTTTACGAAACACTATATTTTTGAAGCGATCTCATTTTGAGGAATTAAACTTTTTCGTTTTATGATTTATTGCTCTAATTTGTGTACCTTTCTGTTCTTGATATCATTATGGAGTTATATCTTCTGTGCTGGTGATCACTGTCTATTTATTTGCTAAAATATTGACGTGGATTCTCTCTAGAGAAGTTCTACCCACATCAAGTTCCAAACTCTTCAGGCATCTGTGGGATTTGGTAGTGCATAGCTTGTCACCCAGTGCTGTATAATTTGTATTTTTTTGATCATGATGTCAAAAAAGTTGACAGTTTACTAGTGTTTAAGATAAATCGGTTGGTCCTCCTCATAAGTTACTGCTGAAGATACTAGTTGGTTCCAGTCTACGCAGTATACAACTTTCTAGACATCCAAAAAGCCGAATTCGCGTAGTGGTAAAGCAATTCGGAGCCTTGGTAACACCATGCCAGGCACAAATTTTTAATCGCTATGATAACCAAAAGGAAGTTAAAAATGAAACTAAGTGTCTTGACAGTCAAATCTGTGTTCAAGATAGCTTTCACATCACTGAGTGAAATCGCAGATAGTCCAGTTAAGTACGTTTTGGTATATATTTTACAATATCTTCCCAGAAATCTCTTCACGTTTTCTTTGGTAACTTTATACAATGAGTAAGTCATTAAATTCCACGTGCAAAGATATGACTTTTTATTGCGCAGGTACTTTTGGACTGACCTGAAAATGGCCAAGAAAAATGGAAGCATGTTTAGGAAGATTGCATGATATGTGGATTTGGACCTTCCAAAATTCGAAGATTGCGCTGCGGAATTTGTTACTGCCCACCACAACAGACGCCACTAAGATGTTGACGCTGTGAAACACTATAAGTTTTAGAACGACACTTCAGCAGGAAACGATTGCGAAGTAATAAAAAAGTACTTGAAAATCTGAACGTAAAGCAGATGAACCGAATGAGGACAAGAACCGTGAACACAAAATAGGATGTATAGTCAACGAAGAAAAAAACGTGTTTGGAGGTAGACATATTGAACTACCAAAGCTTCCACTCTTTTTCTGTTTCTCCAATTCATCGGCTCCTTACTTCTGAACCTGAAAACAGTAAGGCCTGTGAGGGGGAAAACAAGTTTTTTATTTTCATGACCACAGGAACAGTCCACTTAAACAACACGTTTAAAGTACAAGCACTATTTCGAAAGATTTTTCAACTAATCGGTCCCAAAAACTCTGAAACTCTATCATAATATGCGGAACTCCATAGCTGCGTTGTAGCTCGCCGATCTGCTCTGCGTAGTGCAGCCCATAGTAGCTGATCACATTTTGCAACCGTAGTATCGGCTCAATGGTCGCCAGAATTCATCACTTTCGTATATTTGATGCTTTCTGAGCCTAGAGTAGGCTTGATCCGAATAAGTTTAAATAGAAAGTTTCTGCTAAATTCGGTGCATTAATACCTAGAGTTGCTGAAACGGCAAAACCTTTCGAAGAAGTTTTTACTATATTATGTAAGGAGCCGCTGTTGAAAAACCGTTTGTCCTGCAGGCACGCTGGAGGGATTCTGATATGCTGGAAGTATCGGAACAGTCTGGTGATAAGAATGCAAATTTTGGGCCAAGAGTGGTGTCGCTTTTAGCGGACCATTTCTATGCGAGAAAGGAAGATTCTCTTCGACAGGTCATCTGGGAAAGATCAACCAAATTCTCTACAAAAAGGGATCTGTTTAAACTTAAAAAAAATGGGTTTGCTAGAC